ACTATTACTATAATTACTATGTTCATGATCATTACTATTACTGTTACCAGTACCATTACCCATCATTATACACCATTATCGTAATATTCAAAGAATCAAAATAATTATTAATTTGGGAACTGCGATGTTGTCATAATCATATAAAGATAATCATGTAATGTAATACTTAATGATGCCGTATTTCCAGAAAGTGAACAATATTTCAGTGTTAGTTATTATCAGGCTATTTTTAAGCATACTTTCATTCACACAGAATTAATCATGATATATATATATGCTGTCCATATTAACATCTTTTTCCTTTTCATCTTCAGTGAACAAAATAAATTAAGAAATAGTACTAGCACTGTATCTCCTTGACAAATTCCTTCATTTTCTTTGTTTCGTATAAAAAAATGCAGGGATAACATGCCGTGAATAGCACCACTTGTAAATATGCACCTGACCTTTTTTTTTTTATAGCAGTTGGAATGGTTAATTAAATCAAATCATATGTAGGCTTGCATGTGTATATTTTTTATTCAACCAAAGTCATCTATTATGCCACTGACGACATCTGTTACGCTGACATTCATCTTGGGGTAATTTACATTTTGCCTGAAAAGAAAAAACGCATTAATTTAATTTTGAGAAACGTTGATCCAGAGTCTTCGCGCGCCTTCCTCGGTGACTGCTGCTGTCCCTACCAGGTGCTGCCGGGCGCCTTGCAGGTGTGGTGCTCCAGACAGGTGTCGTAGCAGCACTTCTCGTGGCCGGGGCAGCGGGAGTCGTTGCTGCACTGGTTGGGGGGGCGGAAGCCAGACCGCACGGGGGGGCACTGCGGGCGCACGGGCGGGCAGCTGCCTGGCTTCACTGGGAGGGTGAAAAACATTAATAAATAACATGTATAAAGAAGTGTTCTACACCGTTTATACTTTATTTGGTCGTGGGTAATGATATTTCTGTTGGTCTTTTACCTGAGTTTACTCCAATCATCCAGTCAAAACTATCAAAGCTTATCATACATGGCTGAGGTACAGTCGCGGTCAAAAATTCTGTCGAGCATGTTTCGAAATCTGTTTCGAACGACCGCTTATTAATGCACTTTTTGTACAGGGTAAGACAGATTCGAAGTAAGTAATAATGGCAAGAAAATAAATGTGCCAGACGTCAAAGGTCATAGAGCACAAGACAGATTCGAAGCTTCAGTTCATTAAAAGACTTTTGTCCGCCACTGTACTTCCATGAAGAGAGAAACTGTCAGGAACACTTTCCAATACAGTATATGTCTATTCGTCACAGGAAGTTCTATAAGTGAAAACACTCTAATCGCCCTTGCATCTTTTCAGTAAAAAGGAAAAGCAAAGCCACGTTCTGAGCCTCACCGAAGGGCTGCGAGACGGGGTCGTGTCCGTCCTCGCAGCAGTAAGCCTGGTTCTGGGGCGTCTTGCACCAGTACCTGCAGCTCTTGCTCCCTCCCGCCACGTCGCCGTGGCCGCCCACAACGCCCACGCCTCCGACGACGCCGCCCCCATGCCCGACTCCGATGCCCGCTATGAGGCCCCCCGCGCCCGTGCCCACGCCCACCACGCCGATCCCGTGGCGGGTGTCGGCTGCGAGGGCGGCGGCGGTGGCGAAGAGTGTGGCAGCGAGCGCCACGGCGAGAGAGGCTCCGCGGCGGACCTGCGGAGGAAGAAAGACGAAGTGAGGCCTCGGCTGCACCTCCTTCGGCGGAATGACTCACTCCGGGCTGAAGAACTCACCATTGTGTCTGACTGATGTGCCTGAAGACGCACTTGCGGCCACCGGAGTATATATACACCCAAGCGCTGCTCTGGCGATGACGCGAGGAAATTCCAGACGAAGAGGACAATGAAAAGCTCACCTTGGCGTGGCTGACGCCCTCAAAGAGCTCGATTTTTCCCGGCGGACTTTATTGTGCTTCGGCGCCATTGTTGGCATCGAGTAAAAGCTGTCGATGCTAACCTTAGGCGCTGCCAGATTCAAAATGCAGCACACTGTTAAAAAGAAAAGAAAGAAAAAAGGATTCACAAATTACACATTGGGTGATTGGAAACGATTATGTCAACTGTGCAGTACGGAGAAGGGTGACGCGGTGGACCGGGCGGGGCGGGCGCGGACGCACAAGTTTTCCCACAGAACCCGAGGCTGGCGATTGCTCAGCCTCCCGCTAGGCACTCCTTCCCTCCCCATTATCACCCGTTTCCCCTTCTATCTCCCTTTATCATTTTATGCGTATTTCTGTTGATTATCTCACGAATTCTTTTTTTTCGGCTAAGGGAAATCTAATGGAAAAATCATGTATTTATATTTTATCATTATATCCATGTTTATATTTATCCGCAATAGTAACTAGCATGACGCGGCTGCGTTTGAAGTGATGTGGAGATTTATGAGAAAAAAAATGTAATACGTTATGCAGGGGAAGAGCGGCAGACTAATATGATGTGGTAAGTGTTACGAAGAAAAACTAGAGAACCACAAACCAAAACTTAGGCGATCACAATGAACAAAATTTACTTTCTAGGCCATTAAGGGATACTAATTGTTGCTGTGCATTTCACTACTGACATGTTACTATGCAGCAGACAAGGTGATGCTGTAATGCTGCGGTATAGCGTCAAAAATGTGAGGCTTTCGTTGGTTAAACAATTAGTAAACAGAGATGCAAAATCCTTAGGACAGATATTCTCTACGTTACTCTCCCAGTGTCGATGCAGACAAGGTCTGAATAAATGTATATTTACTTACGAACGAAGGTGACCGTCAACTCTTACAAGGAAAGCCAAACGTTCATTAACGTGTCGTAAGTCTCTCACCAACTGCAGTTGGTGAGAGACCAACCTTCATATTTCAAATTACCTTTTAGGCCACGCTGTTTGTTGCTTCTCGGATTTTTTTTTCTTCAGAAAACGAAATGGAGCGACAAGGCAAAAAACTTACAGAAAATAAACAATAATAAGATTTAAGTTTTCAGCTTTCCATGGCACGTATTGTCATGAATCCCATCCTTTGATTTATTACTATAATTCCGAATAAAGAACATTATTTTTGACTGAATTTACGTGTGTTGTACTTACTACTATTATTGTAATTTTGTTTTGTAGCATCAACATTAATAAAACAAACAACCCTAACTCCAAAAACCAAAAAAACAAAGTTTGCTGCGTCGGTCCCTTTCCACTGGCATATGGTTTAAAAATATACGATTAGTTTAGTTCTAGAGTTTAGAGTGACGCAAATCAGCACACAACAAAACCTACGGCGCCATATGGCTTTGAAAGATAAGACCTGATTGGTTGTCCTCTCGCATGTGATCAAAAAGAAGCTCTCTGATTGGTTTCCGGCGGCGTGTGCCTCCCATAGTGGCAATATTCACAGGTTTGCGAAAGCAAAGCCTGTGCTGTTTTTTTTGTCCCGCCTCTTTTTTTCAAAATGCAAAATATTGAAGCGGCGAATCCGAGAAGCAGGTTTGGCCTTAGATTCCCTTAGGAAGTGTGAAAAGTCTGACGGGAATCTAAAGTGTATGTCTAGTGTGAATAAGTCTAAATAGATATTTACTTACATCAGTATTTGATGCTAGCCGCCCTAAAGCGAGCAGAACCTTCGCCCATGAGACCTAATGTGATTCAAATTTCTTAAAATCTTCTAAAGCTTTAAATGTGTGTCGCCGGCGATCTGCATGTGGCTTGAAATAAACGAGAAATAATTTGTTCCGGGGGTTTTGTCCAAATATGAGGCTGCAACTACCAGAAGGCAAATTATTCGTTGTGCGCACGCGCGCGCGCACGTGTGTGTGTGTGTGTGCAAGGCTACAAGTGGTGGGGGAAGGGGGTGATACGTCTCCCCCAACCCCAGTTTCAGAAGTTTCTCCCAAAGTTCTACAGAAAAGGTAAGATTGCCATTGATAACACAAACACCTCTGTTTGTATACTTGCAAATGATTTCTAACTTCCCCATATTTGATCTGGCTAGCGTTATCCCGTTATCATATTTTTGGGGGTTGGGAATGGACACATTGTCCCTCCACCTCAGAAATGTCCTTTGCCCCTGGATGTATACGTGTGCCTTTGATGGGCGATGTGGAGCTAAGGCAGGCTTCTGCCACGTGGTGGCTGTGGAATATGGCTGTTTTGTGTGCATGCGTTGTGAAAGAACGGTGTTTGGTGTGAGAAGTGATTTTTTTCGAATGTTTTTGATCTTCGGTAAGTTAAAATGCAGTGATTTAGGCCTATGTAGGGTATCTTTCTAAATAAATTCCTATCAGAAAATCCAAGCCTTATAGCTCGTAAAAATATGTAAAAGTGCAATACATACCAGGGTGATAAAATATTAATCTTAAATGACGCAATACTTTTGAAATAGGATTTTAAAAATCAACTAGCATTGATTGCAGTAAATAATGTGCCATATAAAGTAAATACTGAAAATAACCAAACTGTTGTAAAATTCACCACCTTTGTATACCCGTGTTGGTATGTTATGCAGTAGTTCAGTCTGTGGTTTTACGTGCCTCAGTCCTAATAGAACTAGGCCACACTGACAGTAAGAAACTTAGTTTTTGATTTTATGAAATGTTATGTCAAGGTTTTTGTTCGTGTTTGCTTTGGTTGTAATCACTTTATGAATGCTTTGATGAGTCAAATGTTTAACGATTATGGTCCATTGTTTCTTTCTCGGAATATACTGTACTTGTTTGAATGAGAAATGCGTTACTCATGTACTAGCTTTAGAAAGTCTTCTTAACGTGTTTCAACAGCTGGCAAAAACATTTTCCTCCTATTCGTGTCTAACCGAGGAACAGACGCTTGTAGGCTTATGCTTATAATGCACCTGCTCGTTTAGTTTAGAGGCTGTCTCCAGTCTCCAGTCACGGTCATACTTGGTTCGTGAATGTAGGAGAGATTTAATAATAATCGTGCGATATGGCACTGGTAGAGGTAGTCTGGGAGTCGGAAACACTAACGTGGAACAAGTCCAAAACGGTACGAGCCAGAAGCAATACACTAGCGGCGGGGATGGCCAAGGAGGCTATGTGTTGGGACGGCATGTAAGGAGGTCGGCTGATAGACGGGGAAAAGCTAACCTGGAAGCGGGCACAACGGCGAGGACACTGTTCCTGTTCTGTTGCTGCCTTGACTTTACTGAAACAAAAGACAGCTGACGGCCGTTCTTTGCGAAATGTTAAACACGAGGCCGTGATCTTTTGAGAATTGTAATGCGAGTACCCTTATTTTCTGATGACGCATTTGCGAATGATATTAAATTGTTATAGTTTACATTGTTGATTTGTATATGGCCATGGTACTGATGGCGCATTTTAAAGAGAAATTCAATCAAGCTACGATTTGGTTCGGTCTGATTGGTCTTCCCGAATCCATCAAAAAAAGACCCAACACCCAGGCCCAGCTTGCTATCAGGTAGTTGTAGACAGACTGCCGGAATATGTGGTCATTCGTTCCCTTTCGTAGTGGGGGACAGGAGTAACCGTGAAAGAAAAGAGACGACGCTCTTAGTAAAGATAATAGACTTTGCGACGAGGAAATCTTTCATCACCTGGATTTTGCATAAACAAGAAGATATAGGTAGCCCAAAATAATATGAACTAAAAAAATCGTCAACACATGGGGCAACAGTTAAAAAATATCTACTAATAGCTGACTGCTTTCAAACTGCGAGTTTAGAATAAAGATAACAAAGGCAAATAAAAATGCTCTGGGTTGGCCATATTACAGCTATAAGTATCGAGCATTGACGAGTATCTTCAAAAGAAAAATAAAACTATTACTATACTCCATTTAATGCATCAGTTAGGCACAGATAAAATGTGTAATCTGATAAGAGAATTTCATCGAAATGTGCCGTCCTGTATGCGATTTGTTTACTATTGTGACGTCATGAAACTGTATCAAGCCTCTCCTGGAGTTTTCAAGAAATCTTGAAATATCTTGCCGTCAAAAATGAGCCTTAAGTATAAAACATTGTTCTTATTTGTATATGGAATAACTTTTATCCATAGTACACATAAGGAACGGCCATTCAAATTGGTTCACATCTCACAGCAAGCTTTTTCGACCAGTAACCAAAATACCACTGGAGTTGGTAGCATCCACCATTCGAAATGTATTAGGAAAATAGTTTGCATGGAGGTTTTACAATTTAATTAATACTGTTACATATAACGCTATACACAGCAACAAGTTGACATTCAACCTGCTCTCTGTACACGGCTTAAGAACTACCAGGTGCTTCCAGGAGCCTTGCAGGTGTGGTGCTTCAGACAGGTGTCGTAGCAGCACTTCTCATAACCGGGGCACTTGGAGTCGTTGCTGCACTGGTTGGGGGGGCGGTAGCCAGACCGCACGGGCGGGCACTGCGGGCGCACGGGCGGGCAGCTGCCTGGTTTCACTGTGAAAAAGTTTCACAATTATGGAATGTGAAGACGATGTGGATCAGGAGGGGTTAGTGCGGGGCCGCCTCGCTCGCCGCTGCAAAACGTCAACAGATTATATGCAAATTCCAGACAAAGTATTCCAAGAGCCATGGCGCTTCATAAGATACAACTTACCGACTGGGATCGTGATTGGCTCGCTGCTGTCCTCGCAGCAGTAGGCTTGGTTCTGCGGCGTCTTGCACCAGGCCCGGCAGCTGGCGCCCGAACCGCCTCCGTAGCCTCCTCCCGAGCCTCCGCCGACGATGGCGACGCTTCCGCCGCCGTGGCCTCCAAATCCGCCTCCTACGATGCCCACGCTTCCACCGCCGTGGCCCCCGACGATGCCCACGCCTGCGCCGCCGTGACCTCCAGCTGCTCCTCCGACGACGCCCACACTTCCACCTCCGTAACCTCCTCCGACGATACTCACACTTCCGCCGCCATGGCCTCCCCCAACGCCTCCTACGAAGCCTCCTGAGCTTGGCCTCCGCCGAAGCCTCCTGAGCTCCAGAAGCCTCCTGAGCTCCCGTGGCCTCCGCCGAAGCCTCCTGAGCTCCCGTGGCCTCCGCCGAAGCCTCCACCCGAGATGATGCCTCCCGAACCATAGCCGCTCGAGCTACCATAGTGCCTCGTGTTGGCCGAGAGAGCCACTGCGCCGAGACACCAGAAGTGCCACTGCCAAAGACCTCTTGCCGCCAGCCTGCGGGAAACATGCGGTTGAGATGATGCGAACAGTACGATTCGGAGGCAAAAAAGCAGTGTGAAAGAGAAGTGATGACCTAATGTAGGCTAATTCATAAAAGCGCTGAGCTGCTAAGTCGCCAAGACGTCGACCGACCGCGCATAAACATTCGCCTGACTGAAGGCGGAGTACTCAGTCGACTTACCATCGTCCTCGAGAGTCGAAAAGGTTGTGTCGGGATAAACGAAGCCGCCCTTTATATACCCACGGCAGCTATGGAGATGACTGGAGGAAATCCCGTGGCTGTATGGACAATGAGGGGTGATTAAACACTTTGGGTCTCTGACGTCATACCAGACGAAGAAGGAGAAAAAAATCGGACCGCTGTTCTTTGAAGCCTAACTGGGCTCTTTCCTACAGGGAATCAATGTTCGCAGTTGTGATGTCTTTGGTTGTTACAGCTGTCCCTTCTGATGCTGAATATTAGTTACTTAACATATATGAAGCATAGTTTACATATGACTACTTGTGCTATAATCGCCACGCGAGGCATTTCTGTTATATAACTGGGGTATCCCGGCTTTCCCCTGGGCTGTGTCGGTCATGGTAACGGTTAGCAATGGCCAAAGAAAAGAAAGCTTATGTTGCAGGATGACGAACTCTCTCTCTCTCTCTCTCTCTCTCTCTCTCTCTCTCTCTGTCGTCTGCTGGAGATGGTTGATAAAAAAAAAAACACTGGATGATGATGTCCTCAATTTTCCATCTCAATCTCATAAATATTTCCCAACTACTCCAGGCAGATATTTTCATATTCATGTTTCTTCGTGGAAGATTAAAAAAAAATCTGTCCTTCTACTTCAAAAATTATATGCGGTAAGACTTTGTACAATATTCCTCCCACTGATGTCGCAATGTTGCAAAAAGAAATTAAAATCGCATGCATATCAACAAACAAGGAGTCGTTATTGTTTGATCAAAAATTTACTGCGTAATGTGTTGGAAATGCGCGCGCGCGCGATTGTGCATATGTGTGCTGTGTGTATGGAAAGCACCTATTTAGTAAGAAACTAGTAATCTATTTTACTAATCTTTCGCCAATTGAGAACAGACCAAACGCCGTCCTGACGAGAGCAGAGAGAGAGAGAGAGATGAGAGAGAGAGAGAGAGAGAGAGAGAGAGAGAGAGAGAGAGAGAGATGAGAGCTAAGAGCACCTGCTGCTCGACACATTTTCCTCTAGAAATGGGTCCCTAACCTGGTCCCTGGACCCAAAGGGATCCATGAATAGGTTTCAGGGGTCCGTAAGGTATTAAAATAACATCCCTTTACCTAAAAAGGGATGTGTATTTTCAGATTGTTTACGTAAATTTGATAATACTTTGTGTATCTCATATATGTATGAGACAGTGAAATCAATCGAAGTCCATTAATCAATCGTCCATTATATACATCACAAGCAGAGTTGTGTTAATGCGAACAGAAGCGTTGAAGGGGTCCGTAGCTTCCACCGTATCCTTGAAGGGGTCCATGACTCTTGGAAAGCCGACAGCCACCGAACACGAGAGGCAACCGCGCTTCTCTCGGGAGGTCCGCTGTCCCTCCCAAGGAATTGAAATACTTTAAAAGCCCAAGTCGCTCCCATCATGGCTTCCCACCCAACCAAAAGTAGTGTCCCCAGTCGTGTATTTGACCAAGTGTTATGTACTTTCATATATATATATATATATATATATATATATATATATATATATATATATATATATATATATATATATATATATATATATATATATATATATATATATATATATATATATATATATATATATATATATATATTATATATATATATATATATATATATATATATACCGGAGGGGAATTTTCAACGTTTCTGATAATTGGTGTTGATGATGATAACAATGGCTATGATATCATTCTTATCCTTATCTCATCGCTAAAACCATCCTTCGTTTTATCATTATCATTAACGATTTTGTCCTTATGGCCATCCCTGTTAACAGAACTAATATTGATGCCATGATTGCCATTGCTATCATCATCAGTTTTACTATTACTACTTTATTGTTTATTATCATGTTATTATTATTATTATCATTATTTATTATTATTATTATTAATTAATTGTATCATATTATTATCTTTATTATTATTATTATCTTTATTGTTACCATTATCACCATTATTATTACTGTCATTACTGTTATCATTATCATTACCATTATTACTATTACTATTCTACTATAGTTGTCTTTATTATCCGTGTTACTTTTATTGATATGATTATTTTTGTATTTATTGTTACTATCATTAACATTATCAAATTATTATCATTATGGTTATTCATAACATTATAATAATTATAATGATCATTATCATCATTATTATTGCTATTATCATTAGCGTTCTTTTCTATTTTCTATTTCTTATCATTATCATCAATTATATTATTATTACGGCTACGGAGGCGGTTCGGAAGCCATCATTGTTATTATTATTGATATCATTATCATTACTATCATGACCATAAAAAATATTGTTATCATTACTATTTATATTATTTATATTATTCATTATTGTTGTTAATATTATTATCATTTTGATTATTATCATCGCTGTTATTATTACCATTATTATTATTATTACTTTTACTATCATCATTATCATCATTATGTATAACTATCTTTATTATCATTAATATAATTATCACTGTTATTATTATTATCACTATTATTAGCATCCATGTTAGTATCATTATATTTGATATTATCATAATAGTAATACTAATAATAACAATTATTATTATATCATTATTGTCATTATTATTAATTCATTATCATTACATTATTGTTTTATTGATGTTATTACCATTATAATAATATAATAATAATAATGATAATAATATAATAATAATAATAATAATAATGATAATAATAATAATGATTACCATTATCATTGCCATTGTTATTACCAATATTATGATAATTGTTATCATTATTAGTATAATCATTATCGTTATTGTTATTATTATTATCATCATTATCACTATTATTGTTATCATTATCATTATTATTGTTATCATAATCATGAATAGTATTATTACTATTACTATTATTGCTGTTACCATCATCATCATCTTTATCATCAATATTACTGTTATCATTATTATTAGTATTGTTATTATTATCATTATTATACCTGTTGTCATTATCATCATTATTGTTATCAACATCCTTATAATAATCATTATCATCACCATTATAACAATTACTATTATTGTTATTGTTACTGCTGTCATTACAATCATTATTAATGCTTCATCATCATTATTGTTATTATTATCATTATTATTACTATTACTATTAGTATATTCATCATCATCATTATTATCATTTATACTATTATTGTTATTATTTCTATTATTATTATAATTACTATCAATACCATTATTTTTATCATTGCTAACATCATTATCATAATCACTATCTTCATCTTGATAATTGTTGTTGACATATTTACTGCTGCTATTATTAGTGTTAATACTATGATATTTAATCATTATCAAAATTACTATCAACAAGGTGATTATTATTATTAGTAGTGTTATTATAATCACATTAATTATTTTGATTTCTTTATTTGTAAATATCATTGCTTACATTATTATGCTTATTATTATGTTCTTTATTACTGTCATTATTATGTTTGTTGTTATCATCATTATCACTGTTATCATAATAATTATTATAATTTCGCAGCCATTATTATTGTATCATAATTGTTATCACTGTCATTATTATCATTACGATCTATATTATTATAATGATTACACTTATCATTATCTTAATTAATAATATTGTTATTATCATTATCATTACTATTATCATTCTTATTATTTTCATTATCATCTTTATTATTAAGATTATGATTATTTTTATTTCATTATCATTTTTATGATAATTATTATTTTATTGTTATGGTTATTATTATTTTATTGTTATGGTAATTATTATTTTATTGTTATGGTTATTATTATTATAATTATTATTATTTTTATTTATTTCTTATTATTTTTTTATTATTATCATTATCATTATTATAATAAGCACTATTATCATCATTATCATTGTTATTATTGCTATTGTTATCATTTTCGTTACTATTGTTGTTATTATCATTATTATTACTATTGTTCTTATCATTATCATTAATAGTAGTAGCAGCAGTAATAGTATCATTATTATCATCACTATTGCCATTATTATCTTCACTATCATAATCATCATTATTACTATTATTGCTATCATTACTATCACTGATATGATAATAATGATAATAATAATAGTAATGATAATGATAATGATAATTATCATTTATTCTCATTATTATTATGATTATCATCGTTGATACTATAATTATGGTAAATGTTATCATTTTTATCATCATTATTCTTATTCCTATTACCATTATTGTTGTCAGCATCATTAGCATTATTCTGAATTTGATTATGATGATTTAAATAATGATACTAATGATATTGATAGTAAACATCGTTATCATTCATCGTAGTTATTAGTTTTGGTGTTTGTGCTGTTTTTTCTTTTTCTTAGTATCAGTATCATTATTCGTATTTGTAAGATAATTTTTGTTTTAACTATCACTATTGTCATTGTTGTTGTCATCTTTATTATCATTATCGTTCTGATCATATTGTTGTCATCATTGTAATCTTAAGATATTATTTCTATTAGTTTAGATAGCAAGTCCTAGACACCAAGATGGTTGGATTATTCCCCCCTTTATTTTCCCTTTATCAGGAAATGAAGATGAATGGACAGCTGGAGAGTCCAATCCAGCTTGAACACAGCCATTCCCATTAAGGAAAAGGGACTGGAACCTATTATTCACAACAAAGGTGAATAAACCAACAATTATAAAATAAAGGAAAAAGTAAAAATAAAAACGAAGAAATATCTCGTTACGCAACCGACTCCCATAGCTCTCCTTCCCGCCAAAAAAGGGAAACAAAGGAGGGAAGCCATGCGCCGCGCGCCGACACGAAAGAGCGGCGAAGGGGGAGGCGCCGAGACACCCAACTTCACGGCCAAGGAAGAGTCCGAAATTTCCTGCAAGTCATCCGTCGAGGAAGTGGAGGTGGAGGTGAGGAGAAGGTCAGGGATCTCCGTCGGCCATTCTGCGTCTCGCCTCCGCTGGCCAGGGGGTTGCGCGATGCCGAGTCATGATGCCGGGAATTGTTGCGCGGGAAAACACACGCGAAGGCTTGTGCAACTGGAAACTCGCCTTCCGCCTCCTTCTGTCTCCCTCCTCCTCCTTTCTTCTCCCCATCGCCCTCGTCTTTCACCTTCCCGTTCTTCTCTTACTCTTTCTTCCTCCCCCTCCTGCTCTTTTTCCTCCTCCCTTGCCCATCCTCTTCCTTTTCCTCCTTTTCTCTTTCTCTCTCGGGTTCTCTCACTTTCCTCTCCTCGCTCCTCCTCCTTCCCTCCTTACCAACCTCGTTTCCCTTCTAATCCTTTTCATCTCCTTTCCCACCATGCTCCTCCTACTTTATTTCTCCTCCTTCACTTT